AGGGGTTTGGGGACTATTTTGAAAAGTAATCAATTTTTTTTTTCTTCTTTCCAAGTCTCAGAAATACTTCTGTGTAATACAAAGAAGCAAATCAGAGCATTGTACATTGTAACTGACTTCCTGGTTGCAAAGCCTGGCAGTAGGCTTTGCAAGCCAAAGAGATGACTTTTTGTAAGTGACTGGTAGGCAGCCTGCCTTGCTTGCTCTGTGACTCTCCTGTGAGCACCATTTCCAGGTACTTTTTGTCTCACACAGCTGCACAAGGACACACTGACCTGTGTCAGGCAATGGGAGTTGTGTGTTTTCTGGAGGAAAGCCCTGGCTGTATGGTTCTGTTACTTCAGCTAACTCTCCAAAGACAGTTTAAGCATGTCCATTGTTTTCTTCATTTACCCATGTCATCTTCCAAGAACAAGAAAACTGAATGAGCCATTTGTAAAATATGAGTAAATATGAGTACGTTCTTTCTTTTTCTGGGAAATAAATTCTAGCTGTAGTATGTGAAAAATGTTCTGTATCTGAAGAGCAGAAAACATTATTTCTCAGGCTGATATCATGTTACATTGGAAAGGTGTACGAAGATGTTCTGAAGTTCCAGCAACTGGAAAGCTAGCCTTGACATTTAATATGAAGATTGTAGTTGTGAATGTCCACACCAGTCAGTCTCTTTTGGTTTAAAAGGCTGAAATGCATTACAGATGTCGTTCTATCAGAACACCCTCTCTTTGGAAAGATTGAGTCTGAGTTCTTGGTCCTGTCAGTTCAGCACTATTCTGTCACGTCTAAAGTGACAGTCTCAGCCTTGAGGAATGTGCAGTTCAAATAGGGAAGAGAGTGAGGAAATGGTGATTAGAAATGCAAAAAGGTGGAGCATGTTACTTTTTTCTCGCTAGTTCAGTGTTTTTACAGACTTTATGTATCTATATAAACTGCTTTATTGCTCATGCTTATTGCATTACAGGAATAACTTTTTACTCTGCAAGCTGCCTTACAGGAATCTGTGTACTTTCCAGCTAGTTAAGGTCCACTCTTCTCTGTAGAAGTATTAAAAAGTCATCTCCTTAACTTATTATCTGCTTCCAGGGAACTAACAGGATTGACAGATAGAAGAAAACATGTTTCTTTAGTTAAATGTAATCCATTTCCCAGTGTCTGCTGGAAGTAATAGCAAGGAGGAGAAACATTGATAGATACAGCAAATCTTATTGTCTAGGAAAATAGGACTGAAAGAACCCTAAAGCAAAACTTCTCTCTTGAAAATCTCTGCCACAGATGTCATTTTTATTGTGCAATGTTATAGTTGATTCCTCAAATAATGGAGGTCAGTTGTAGGTGCAAAGACTGGTCTGGCCAGTGATGCTGGGATAACTTTTTAAAGGCAAAGACCTTTAAAAGAAAGGGAAGTTTTTAAGTCTTGGGAGGCCTCTTGGATGCTATAGCAGTGGTCCATGTACGTAGCTAAATTTTCTGCCTGAATTACAATTCAAGTATATCTTCTCTTCCTAATCCACTGTCATAGTGTCCTGCTGCTAAGTCATTTTATTTCCTTTCTTCAAAACTGCCATGATGTTGCTGGCATAGAGTGACTACAGATGGCATCGGCCACAGGAGGGTTCCTGTTTCTGTGACATTGAGGCTGAGGTCAGCTCTGTGAGGTATGTAGCTTTCCACCAGATACTGTAATGCTATGCCATTAGTCTCTTAGGGTCTGCCATGTAAAATTCTTAGTTGTCCAGGATCAGCTTTCAGTAGAATTTTTTCCTCCTTCAAAATTATGCAAAAAAAAAAAAAAAAGCTCTAGCTGTCGAAGCACAATGCTGTCACTTATTTTACCTGTCTGTGTTTCACTGTATCTTTGGATGGCTCTGTTTTAATGCTTAATTCCTTTGACTGCCATATCTGGTAGCATACACGCAGAGGGCTGCATTTGTAATGAACTGTTCTGTGCACTGGAAGGCAAGGGTGGTTTGGTTATGAACTCTAAGGTGAAGGAGTATGTGCTTTAAAAGGGCTTATTCCTTCCATTATTGACTGGAATTGAATTAATGAAGTCCCTTGTTTTAGGGTGTTTGGTGGTTTGATTTTTTATTTTTTATTTTTAATGGGAAGAAGATTAATTGACTGTTAGAACAGCCACTGATGTAGTTAATTTTCTATTGAAGTGAAGATGTTTACAGTTCCATGAAGTTGGACATATTTAGTCAACAAAACATTGAATAAGAAAGATACGTCATTATTCTAAAAGCAATGAAATAAGGAGCTCTACTCTCCTTCCTGTTGGATATTTTCCTCCAGGAAGGGGACTGGAAAAATTGCTTTATTTTAAAATACCACCATTCAGATTCTTAAGGTTCTATAATCAATGCATCAGTCCTCTTTCAGAAATCTGACAGAGGGTAAGATGCTACAAACTCTTCTTGGAGTATTATGTTTTGCAAATGGCAAGCTTAGAAGTGCGGAGTAAGAAATGGTATCCCTAGGAAAGGAGAGGATGTGAAAGCTCAACAGGGCATGTACAAAAAATTATGATAATTATTTAGTGTAGTTAACGTAGAATCATGGAATCATAAGGGTTGGAAAAGACCTCTAAGATCATCTAGTCCAACCATCTACCTCCCACCAGTGTTGCCTAAACTGTGCTCCTTAGTACCAGGTCTACACATTTCTTGAGTGCCTCCAGGGCCAGTGATGCCACCACTTCCCTGGGCAGCTGACCCATTGCCTGACCTCTCTTTCAAAGAAGTTTTTCCAGATATCCAACCTGAAGGTCCCCTGGCACAACTTGAGACTATTCCCTCTCATCCTATCACTGTTACCTGGGAGGAGAGGCTGACCCCTGCCTCACCACAGCCTCCCTTAAGGCACTTGTAGAGAGCAATAAGGTTTTCCTTGAGCCTCTTCTTCAGACTAAATAGTCTCAGTTGTCTCAGCTGCTCCTCATAGGACTTGTGCTCCACCAGGGCTGAATACAGAGGAATGATTGCTTCTCTGTTCCTGTTGGTTATGTGATTTTTGATACAAGCCAGGATACCACTGGCCTGCTTGGCCACCTGGACGTGCTGCTGGCTCATGTCTACATGAGTGTCAGCTAACAGCCCCAAGTCCTTTACAGTCTTCCAGCCACTCTGCCCCAAGGCTGTAGCATTGCCTAGGGTTGTTGTGGCCAAAGTGCAGGAGCCAGCACTTGGTCTTGTTGAACTTCATCCCATTGGCCTCAGCCCAGCAATGCAGCCTGTCCAGATCCCTCTGTAGGGCCTTCCTACCCTCAGGCAGATCGACACTTCCTTCCAAGTTGGTGTCATCTACAAACTTACTGAGGGTGTGCTCAGTGCCCTCATCCAGGTCATCAGTGAAGATACTGAAGAGAACAGGCCCCAGTACGACCCCTGGGAAACATCACTCATGTCTGGTTGCCAGCTGGATTTAACTCCATTCACCTCCACTCTCTGGGCCCAGCCCTCCAGCCAGTTCTTTACCCAGCAAAGAGTGTACCTGTGCAAGCCATGGGCTGCTAGCTTCTCCAGGAGAATGCTGTGGGAGACAGTGCCAGAGGTTTTGCTGTAGTCTAGGTAGACTATGTTGACAGCTCTTCCCCCATCCACCAGGCTTGTAACTCGGTCACAGAAAGATATGAAACTAGATAATTTCTGCTTAGAATTCTGTAGAGTCATCATGTATTTGAAAATCAAACTGTCAGGGTAAACAAATATGTATTTGATTAGATAAATATTTATTGTTGTCCTTTTTTACTAATTGGGAAGCAAAGGCTGAAATGATTTGATTACAGCTATAACTAATTAGCAAAGGATAGAATTTTAACTCGGGACTTTGAACCGAGACGAAAAAACGAACAGGATGGAATATTGCAAACAGTGCTAATGAAAAGATAACATAAGCATGTTAAACTTTGTATTGCAAGCAGGAACTTACTGTACCAGTATAGAAATCATCTTCCCTTAAAGGCCTTTAGGCAAGTAGGCAGCTTAAGAAACTGCTGTGAGGTGAAAACAGAATCTGGTTAGACCTTGGTCATTTCCTTATATGATAGCTCTGTGCCTCTGATGTTACCTTTATTAAGTTTGTTGCTTCTCAGGAAATTCCTTAGGACAAATTGGAGTTTAAATTATATTTCCAAATCATTGAAGTTCAAATAAGGAGCACCAGGCAAATCGGGCTTCATCTTGAAAAGCTGCAACAGAATCCTGCCAAGAGATTTTCTGTACTCACCTCCCAGGCTGTGCATCTGAGTCACCTGAAGCAACTGCACTAAATGTGGAAATGTAGCTGACTCAGAGACAAGTGGTTGCCATTCTTTGGTGGGATGTCATCAGCTACAGTTGAGCTACATTGCAATTTTCCCCCTGTCTTGATCAAATGTGAAATTTCATTAGAATTTGGGCTGAGCCAAAGGACAAACATTTTTTGTTGCACAGTGTCAGTGTGTTGAGTGACAGCCGTGTGCTACTATAACAGCATTGGGGATTTTCCCCTGGAAAGCACTTCCATTCATTGCACCACGTGTTTTGGTCAAGGCATTTGCATCTATGGTGAAAATGAAGAGATGAGGATTTTCTTTGTTATTGTTCCTGTATTGCATTTAAGCAATTTGGACTGACTTAATGATTATTTCTTATTTCTAAACATAGTTAATTAAAAAAGCAAACCAAACCTTTATTAGCTTTCCATACTGTTATGGGTTTTCTCTCCTGGATGTTGTTTGAATCAGATTCCTTTGCTTTAGCAATCTCATGTTTGCTCTGGTGCCTGTGGTTCATTTGAATCTGAAATAGCCAGCACTCACCTGAGGGAAAACCTGAGGTAAATAGGTGATAGTGCATGCTGGACAATCAGAAGGTTCTACAGTGATCTTAAAAACAATTTAAAAATATTTCTGTAAACCAGTTGTTGAATGAGAAGTGGATGGATGGTTGGAAGCTTAAAAGCTTGAATCATTACAGTTTGGGACATTTAAAGCTTAGACTAGATTTAAGTGCTGTTTGAAGCCCTTAATGGAAGGGGAGTAGAACAGCATATTTGAAATCCCCTTTTCCTTTGCTTAGGGTTTATAATTGAAGCTAGAACTTGAAGTATATGGAATCACTTTGCTGGTGGTGAAGGAATGTCACCATACTGCTCAAGTGTAGTGTGGTCAGCTTAAATGCTCTAACTTCAGAACTAAAGGCTGGTTGGAAACCAGCTGAGGTGTACATGCATGTGCACTAAATATCAATGAAGAAAAAATCTGCCTTGCAGCTGTTGCTGGTGGTGTCACTGAGCTTCTCCTCCCAGCCCCCTACTTGACTCCTCGTTGCCTTTCACAGGCAGGGCACGAAGTGCAGAGTGGAGCTGCGTGCTTTGGTACAGGGCTATGTATGTCTTCCAGAGCCAGATAATGATGTTGGACTGCAGGTGGGTCTCTGCCTGATTCTGTTCTAGGCATGAACAAAATAAGCAAGAGATGTAAAGGCAAATCAGGCATTACCTGGAGTAAAGACTTTTGGTGATATAACTTGTGCTCAGCTGAGTAACTAGCCTGGGGTTATCCTTATTGCAGGAGAGCTGAACCTTCAGCATTACCCAGTATAAGGCAATTTGCTAAAATTTAACTTTTTAAAAGTGAAAGTTGCTTTGGAATATAGGTGTCAGTTATGTAGACAAATAACAAAGTCTGTAAAATGACCCAAAGTGCTTCTTGCAAGGATATGAATGGAGGTCACTGAGGCAGCATGTAGTGAGAGCAGAGAGAGGATGTTAGTAGATTTTAATTATGTCCAACATGACAACGGTGTGTTTGCTTTTCTTTATAAGTTCTTTGTACTTAAAGCTGGAATAGATTGGGATTTTTTTTTTTAATTTCTATTTTTCCAAATGTGCCACAGAAGCGAGAAATACCAACCTTGCAAAACATCTCCTTTCAGATGGAACATGGGCATTTTGGCACCTTAGATTTGACCTTTTCTTCGTCATTGTTCGGTAAATTTTGACCCAATTTCTGTACAGAGGGAAAAGAGTGGATCAGATTGTGATACCAGGTGGTTATAGTAGACTGGAAAGAAAAGGTAATGAGAGAATTCAAGAAAAAAAAGACGTCTTTAGTCTTTAAGGTTTATCTGTTTGAACTTGCACTATGAGCTGGAGCTGTAAGCTTTCTAGCTGATCTGTGTGAGATAAGCTTCCATGAGCCTTCTGCACCAGAATCACAATCTTGGACTCTTCTGTGCTGCATAAGGAAATCCCTGTTGTCACCCAATTCTCATGCAGTCAATGTGCAGACCCTCAGGTGTTGCCTTCTGTAAACCATGGTTGCTTCATCTCTCATATCAGAGCAGCATTCTTTCCATGTGTCTAAATGCGTTACAACATGGTTGCTACCTTTGTAGAAGCCTGCTGTGGAAGCAGACCACACTGATTTCCTTCAGCACCATTTAAACTGTCATTTTGTGGGTAGCTGCAATGGGGAGTGCTGGCTGCGCTTTCATTCTCACTAACAGACCAATGAACCATAACAAAAATTCTGTGAAGCTGAAGATGGGGGGGAAAAACCCCGTATATTTCAGTCTCCTCATTCCTTTACCATGGTAAAAGTGCAATGCTTACTTATCACTTCCTTCTAGAAGCTGAGTGTAACCAAATGAACAATTCCTGTAATTCAGTGAGGTGTATTGCAAAGTCTTGAAAAATTAGAGCAGAGAGTAACCTCGATATTTCAAACTGTTATGTATTTGAAAACTAATTGCAGGGCTCTGAGCTGAAAGAGCAACCACCGAGTTCAACGTGCAACAGGGTTATGCCACAGAAAACCACAACTTGCTTTTGCATGAAATGGAAACTTAAGCAAGTCTGAAACTCGGTAAGCCCACAGTGAGAATACATTCACCGTGTGCTTCACAGTAAAGGTCTGCATGGTGCGGTGGTTTCTTTGGATCGTTGGCCTGGTCACATCATGTAAAATCAATCTTTGCTTAAATAGGAAATAGCTGGAAAGGAAAGCTGCTGCAGACCTGTGTGTCTTCTAACTGTGTTATCTCTGCTGGCTGCTAACCACATGTTTTAGCTGGTGTCCTTCCCAGTGCATGAGCACGCCTGGTGAGTAATGCATAAAAAACAAACATAACCAGGTTTGATATGTTTGGCCAACTTGAGGAGTGTAAGGATCTTGTTGGTTTTTGTCCTATTTCCTGCCTTTGCTTTTTTGTTCCAGATTTTACCTTTTTAATATAGCTTTTTCCTTGCTTATTTCTCCTGTATGTTTTTTTCTGTGGGGATGCTATGTTGAATGATGAATTCAATTTTTTGTTTTAGCAGTAGTTTTTTATTTGGATCTTGCAAGGAGCTGCATGGGTATATTTTTGTAATTTTCTTTTATGTTAGTATATTAAAGGAAGGCTAAGGGCCATGTTCTACTGGGGAAAAAGGAGGGCTGTTAGAAACATACCACTTTCTACTTTCAATAAAACTTTAATTAACTAAATGTTCTGTCTGGCCTCTTGCCCATATAATGAATACAAACTTGCCTAAGTCATTATTATCTGATATCAAAAACGTTTCCATTTCCATCCCAGAGTGGAGCTGAGGAAAAACTGGCTAGCAAATGCCTTTATGCAAAGAAATCTTGCTTACTCAGCTTACCTGGTTCCCTACTTCTGTGTGTTTGTGCTCTGTCCTAAAGGGTCACCTGTTTCAAGCCGATCCATATTTAAAGTTGCCTTTGTATATACAACACAGGAAATATGTGGTAGGATTCCAGTTGGCTTTGTCTACCTGAGTGACTACAGTATGTGGCTGCCTTCTGCAGGGTTCCTTGGAGAGGAAAATTCCAGTTCAGCACAACTTCTTCCTTGCAAAAAGTTACCCACAATGGGCAACGCCTCCTCAACCCAGTAAGTCAGGATTTAAGCTGTCTGAGCCAGTGTTGGGCAGCTGGGCTGCTCAGAACAGACAGCAACTTGAGGAATGAATCTCCCTGCTCCCACCTTGTGTAAGGTGTTTGTAGTTCTGACTTGCTTTTTTGGAGGTTGATACCTGCCTGACTGCCCTCTGAAAGAAACTGAGTTGATATAAATACTGTCAGGTGATTGTCCTTTGAGAGCAGTTGCAATGAGGAATTAATGAGGAAGGAAATTAGAGCTCCTATTGTCTTTGTTTACTTTTTGTTCTCGAATCTCCCATTTCTTATCTCTAATCTTCAGCTCCAGCAAATGAGGTTTAACTGCAGATCCTAATGCTGAGCTGATTAGGCAGAGATCTGCAGATGAAATGTTAAGCTGTCAAAAGGGAGACGTGCATTTGGGTCCTGGCTGAGCTGCCTGAGATGAAAGGACATTTTGTTAGCTCCTTGTCAGAATGACAGTGTGTTACAGGAGTGGAGCTTCAGTTCCAGAGTGTTGTGTCCCTCTGGATCCAGGGCTGTGATATCCATGTATTTGCAATGTCAGCTGTGTCACCTTAATGGGGATCCCTGGGCACAACTCTACAGTGCACAAAGGAAGGATGGAGTGGCAGCATCCACACCCTGTTTCAAGCCTGGCTCCCTAACTGAGAGTGAGTTGAGGCCCTGGCTGACGTTGTGGGTGCAGACTTGCCTTCAGCTATGGGCTCAGAGTGAGCTGGCACACACAGCTTCTTCCAGTTGTCCTTTTGCAGGATGATTCTGTGGTTGTGATGGCCTTTTTCCAAGGATCGTGCTCAGGATGCCTTTCAGCAGTGTGGATGCTGATGGCCACAGCTCAAGCATCCTTGCCCACGCACTGCACTGGCTGGCTGCAGCTAGTTGGCCATTTCCAGTAAATTGCAGATGCTGTCAGTTTCCCAGCTCTGCTTTTTGCTGGAGTCATTGCAGCAGGAAGGCATTTTAGGAGCATCTTTTCACCAGCAAATTATTACTTTGCTATCTGGAAAGTGCAGATGAAGGATGACTGCTCCCTAAACCAGTGGGACTCCCAGATTCTTAAAGCAGCTGAAGTTTACTGCACATTAGCTGTCCTGAGCTGCCTTACAGCTCTCTCCAGGTCCCACAGGAACATTTATAACAGAGGATAGCAGCCTCTGGTAATGGCCAGCAAAGGGAGGGAGAGGAAACAGTGTCTTGAAAGCCTACTCCCTGCAGATAGAGAATCCCAATGACCAGTAAGTGGAATTCTCTGAGAGCAGGGACTTCCTAGGGCTGCTCCTTGGATCACAGGAAAATCCATCATTTTTTCCAGCCCGCTTTTTCATTTCCTGGCTCACCATTCAAGTTAAATTTCCTTGTAAGTGTTGTTTATATTTGCAGCTTTAAAAATGGGAAGAGCTGTTTTGTGGCAGGCTGTAATACAGTGCTGGTAATTATTTTAGAGATGACCTCTGCTTTGCCTCTTGCCCTCTCATCTAGAATCAGCTCGCTCCTATGTTTTCTAAACTTTTGCTTTGCTGCTGAAGTCTGCTGCTGTTGTACCAGGCAAAAATTGAGTTCAGACAGAGCTCAAATGCTGAACTAGTTCAGGTCTTTTTAATGAAGCCTTCCTTCTCTCAACCATTTTGCACTCTTTTTAATTAAGCCATAAAACTTCATGTATTTGAACTTCACGAAAACAAACCCAAACCCTCTTCTGTGTTAGTTACAGAACACTTTGGTTCTTTCCCCTGTTTTTGTTTCTCATTATTTACTTCATTGCTGCTGGAGTAGCTGCTGAGGGTAAAAAGACACTGCTTTTCAGCTAAATGACTTAAATCTTTCATAAAGGGAGATGTAAACCAAACTCTGTGAAAGGACTTAGGCATCCATTCTAGCTCAAGCTTTAAATAGAAAGCGTGGATTGTTTCAAAAGCCAGCAAAATTTGAACATGATAGAGTATGGAAGAGATGATAGTTTTCAGCAGCTGAGGAAATAAAGGAGAATGTCTAACTGACTGTTTCTGGAAAAAACCTGTATAAGTTTGAAACTTGGGGTGTATGCATATGGTCTCATGAGATGACAGATCTTTGCAACCACATGCAATACTGAGAGGTACGTGAGCATCGGCCTGTATTTACAAAATCCTCTGGTAAGTATCTGTTCAGTTGGTTTTCTTTTCCTGAGGCTGAGATGTGCCAGCATCAATTGTATATCTTAAGTGCATTCCGTCTCTCCTTTTGTGTTGTTGATTTGGTTTTTGGCTACTGGCTGATCTTTTAGTGATACTTCAGGGTAAAAAGATCTCAGCAGCACAGTCAGTGATGTGGGGAAAAAAAAATTATATCTGCTTCCGAGCTTTTCTCTGCACTCTGTATGTTTCCTACATTTTTGGAAATGGTATGATGTTGTCCAAGTTACTTTGGCAGGTCGTGAAAAGCTTTTTAAAAGGGTCATTCTGGTGTTTTGGCAGAAGAAGTTTTATCTTCTGTCTCCATGATTCCAGCAAACCTATGGCCACTGCAGTATGTGGGTTCTCTCCAATTGCTGTGCTTGATGTTTTTGCTTTCTCAAGGTACTGCACATGGTTGCTTTTTTCTTTTATTCTTAATTTATTTAAAAAGGGATATTTCAGCCCTGCAGACCCAGCACTCTGTATGCGTGCAGTAAATGACTCTTGTTGAGATCAATGGTTTCCTGTGTTTTATTAGCACTCCAGTTTCAGCTGGTCCTGTAATCTCACATTTCTTTTTATAACTATTTTATAAGGAGAAGGACCCAATTAAAGCAGTTCAGGTTTCTCTGTTACAGTGCTGTTATCCTGTCCCTCATCGTAACAAACCTGCCCTGGCTCTCTGCTGTGCTTTGCAAGCCTCTGGCATGTTCCCTGTGCTCCTGTGTTTGCACTGGAAGCTTCTGCAACCATTTATGCAGTGGTATCTTTTTGACCATCTCTGCCTCCTTTTATCCTGACGTGTACACATAAGCACATAATCTGATGTTTGGTCTGTGCTTTTAGCAAACAGGCCTACATTATTAGGTGGTTCCACATCTGTATGCCAGATTGTTCCGGACACTGAAAATCCCCAAATCTGCTAATGTGCTGCCCTTATCTTTGGCTTTTGGGTAACGTGGCAGCATCTTGTGCCAGCCCTGATTGCTACAAGGTATGAAAAGAGAGGGGAAAGCAAGTGGTAGGGAGGGGAGGTTAGAGCAGCTTCTGCTATCTGAGCTAGAAAGCCAGGTGGTTTCTGTCCTTGCCAGTAAAAGTGAGAGGAGAAGTTGGGCAGGAAAGGGTCCGGTCTGTACCTAGAGCAGCAGTCATTCAGATGCAGGTTGCTGAGCTGTAGCAAGAAGAAAAGGTAAAGATTTTGTGCACTGAGTAGTGTGCCTTTTGAAGAATCCTTCTCTGTGTCTCTGAGGAAGAAACAATACAGGTAACCAGAGCCTGAAGACTTTTTACTGAGCATGGAAGTTTTTAAGACGATGTTTTGGAAGTGATGGCTCCAGCAACAAACTCTACGTGCATCTCGTTGTCAGCACTCATCACTGCTGTGGTCTCCTCTGCTCTGCTCTTTAACCAGGAACCAAAGAGAGTATGGAAACAGCTGCTGTTTGTGCCTTAGCATGGCTGTGTAGGCATCCTGCCAACCTTGTGATACGGCAGCGAGTCCTGACCAGGATCCTCTGCTGGGGATCTGAGATGCAAACATTGACTGTACATTCAGGATTGACAAAGGGCTGTTCTAGGGTGAATGTGTGTGTGGGGGTAGGTCTCTTCAATTCTGTAGATTGAAACTTTTTATTTAAAATTAGAAATACATACACAAAGACAGAGAAAGCTGTGTACTAGTTTTAAAACTGGAATAATAACAAAAAATAATCAAATTGTTAACTTTAGATGATAATTACTTTTTAAAATAAATTTGATCTGTTACCAACTTGCATCCAACCTGCTTCAAGTGACTGTATTTAAGTAATTAAAATCAGTTTTGCAGCAATGATTTTGCAAACTTGCTCTGTCTTCACTTGTTTTAGTGCAGCTTTTCTATGAACAACTTCTGAAAATGTATTTGCTTTGAACACTGGAACTGAATCATTTTCAGTGTTGTAATAAAGCGTTTGAATAAGCATCATATCCAACCAACTAGTGCATCTTACGTGCCTGTTAAGCAAATAAAATGCTCATATTACAACAACCCTTCTGCAGAGTGC